AGTTTCTCTCTTTACTCTCTGCCTTATCCCATGTAACATGAAGACGAACACCGGCCTTCGTCAGATGGAGCAGGAGAAAGAACCACAACCAAACAGGGAAAACCCAACAACTGACCACACTCCTCTCACTTTCTACTGTTGTTTTTATCCACCTGTCCAACCGGGCGTGGGAAAAAAACCAGCTGTGTGTAATCAAAATGAAAATGTCATTATTCCCTTGGACTGCTCCACTCACTCTCCACTGGAACCTTCTGACTGCAGAGAGGATGATGGGAAATGAGCAGGAGGTTGTTGTTTTATTTTAACCACAGTCAGAAATCGAAACATTGCGCTTCAGGGTTGAGTGACGCTCAACATCCTGATCCTATCTGTGCTCTGACAGGAAACACCGCACGGTGAGAACCTGCCTGCAGACCTGGATGGAACTACAGTCAAATGAAAGCCTCAGAAAGTCATATGAAGAGGGCACACAGAGGGCAGCTACAAAACAACACCACATGTGACCCCCAGCATCTCACCTGCAGCCCCTCGATGGCCAGCCGCAGCATGCTGGGTGTCAACTTGGACGCCTGCTTGAAGGTGAAGTTGCTCCAGTCGATGATGAGGATGAAGCCGTTGACCTGCAGCTCGGGGTCTTCGATCATGGACTCCAGGGACAACAGGATGGCCCTCAGTATGTCCACAAATGTGTACCTGGTTAAAAAAATAAATAAGCTGTAAAAATGTTCTTGTCTGTGGTAAGAATAAAAAATAGATCTCTGCTCTTAGGCTAGCTTAGCTTAGCTTTAGTCACCACTTTAATCTAATCTCTTCATTTCACGGCACGGTTTGATAAATCAACAACATATTAATAACAACAATAATATAATCTATCACAAAAAACAACAAATGCATTTGTTTATAGTGAAGCCTCTTTCAGCTAATAGTTTCTCTAATATAATGAACTTACTTTTTACTGTAAATATTATTTACTTATCTACGTTCTCTAAATCTAAATTAGTCCATTTTTTGAAACACGTTTCCTGCAGTAACTCTTTAACAATAATCCAAAAAATATTTACAAAAACGACAGAAAGTTACAATCTCTTTAAACACATCCATTTATAAACATCAACATCCGTTTTCTTCACTCACTGCTGCACAGGTCCGATTAGCATTAGCCACTTAGCATACACTTGACACCAACCCTCTCCCGATAACCGCTAACGTTAGCTCGTATCTACACACTGTAGCTAATTACTTAGACACACATTTAACTCATAACAAACCGTATTCACGCCTGACCTGTGGTAAAAATAAAGGAAACACACATTTTACTGACGTTATCATCGCTGCAGCGGGATTTATTCTTCATGTGTTCGCGTAAATCCTGTTCTCGTACAAATGCAATGTGCCATCTAGTGGCCTAGCATGTCATAGCAACGTGTATGGATGTCAGTACAAACGAATCATCAAACAAATGTAAAGTTCTGGTGTCTGTTTTCAACCATCTACATTTAAAGAGATTTGGTGCCGATACAAGAATTCAGATGGAACAACAGTGTGACCCAGACCAGCACATGTGGCCCACACTGTGTGCCCACGTGGGTTACTGGAATCAGTGCTGGTGTCTGTGGTTGATCTCATTTAAAAATAAATTCCCTCCTACATTCTGTCCAATATCTGTGTAATATTGTGCTCAGTACTTTGGAATATTCAAATGTATTGTGCAGTATTGTGGTTAGGATATTTCTGTTGCAACAATTGCATTTATTTTATATATATATATATAAAGTATAAACTCAAAGGTATCTGTAGAAAACCACGTTTGTTTCTGGTTTCCTGTGGAACGGTCCATTTTCAGGGAGTACTTTATTAAAGACACCCTGTAAACCACTGACG